GTAAGTAACTAACTAACTACTACTACCTACCACCCAACCAACCAAAACGAAACGAAACGAAGAAGAGTAGACGTAGTAGTAGTAGTATATACTACTACTACTACTACTCTCTCTCTCTCTCTCTCTCTCTCTCTCTCTCTCTCTCTCTCTCTCTCTCTCTCTGACACGCTCATGCAAGTGTGAGCTATAATCAACAATCTGCAAATTACAACCATCCATGGACACTGAAACTTATTCATTTTCTAAATCTGTTGCATTCATAAGCCACATTCTGTGCTATCAGTCCTGATTCAGAAACAGGGACCTTAACTAGGCTGTAATTTCAATAAGCATACAGCCACAGCTATAATGTAGTAGTAATAGATGCACAGCTATAATGTAGTAGTAATAGATGCACTTGTTCCTCAGTTCCTAGTTGCAGCCACACTTAAATATATGAAACAACAGGAGAAAACAATAGATTCAATAAATGAATAGTACTTGTCTATGGAAGATGGAAAGATAACCGACAACCTTATTTTCCAAAAGGAATAGAAGATGATTTATCTTTTGGCTTATAAGACAAATAACTAGACAAAATGTTTTGCAAAGCTGCAAAAGAAACAGAATTAAATATACAAATAAATTTGTTAGAGCAATTTGTGAATGGTAACATAAGTTGAATCTAATTTCCAGAAGCAGTAATGGTGATGGAAAGCAAATCTCCATTTGTGGAAAAAATAGCGACTGGAGTTACACAAAAGACATACTAGCTAATCACCCTCTCCATAGGGAAAGACCTTAACAGTGTCACCCAATCTGAAGAAAGTCTTAGCGACATTGTCATGTTGGAAGTAAGCCGCGACATTGTCATATTGGAAGTAAGGCACAAGTTCAGTTGCTTCCTTTCTACATTGAAAAACTATGCAACTGTAGCAGTTAACCGGCACAATCATACTATGGAGGAAAAACCATTTGTTCCAAAAGAAATATCATTGATTTTGAAATCTTTTTTTTTTTCTGTTAGTAAATTTTGCTTTTATAAAGACTAACAATTTTTTCAACATTCAGATGAACAAATTCCAACATTCCAAAATCACCACCTGTGGTCTATGTCTCAAGGTGAAGACAAGTGCCCCTACTGTTTGTCTTCTGTGCAACTTAAGAGGCTCACCCCTTCTTTCCCGAGCTGATATTGAATCACAAACCATGACTATATCAGTCTTTTAACAACTCTTCTTCATAACTATACCATTTTGGCAGTGTTTCAAAAAGCGCCAGGAGGCACCTACGCGGTCGGGGGGGTCCAGGCTGCTCAGAGCCTAGGCGGGCGCCCAAAACCTAAGCGGCTTAGTAAAAAAAAAAAATTTTGGGTTTTTCTCTCTCAAAAATAGCCTCTAATGGGTTTTAGGTTCATTTGAAACCTAAAACCCACAATTTTGCACCTTTAGTACTAAAACAAATGACCCAAAAATGGCCTCAACGAGCAGCATTTCTACCCTTTGACGGGGGCACAGGCCCTGGGCTAGGCTGGTTCCCAGGTGCCCGAGGATACCCACCTAATTTGGCCGCTTAGGCCTAGGCGATGCGCTCAGGTCTTCTGGATCGCCTAGGAGGCCACCTAAGGGTTGAGCAGTCCGTTTTTTGAAACACTGCATTTTGGAAATATTGAGGTACCCCTTCCTTTCATGATGGATCACAAGAAGGCCACCACAAGAACCAGTGACTGCAGGCAGACAAAAGACCAATGTCCCACATAAGGTGCAGGCACCCGGGAGTTGTTACTCCTGTCTCTCTTCAAGAAACACCTTGAAACTCCAAAAAGAAACGAGGCTTTGTGACACAGTATAAAATTAGTAGTGAATAACACCTGGCAAAAATAAACGCGCTTTAGAGAGAAATAAAAACCACGAAGGAAAACACAAGAAGAAAGAACAAAATGTGTGGATCCGAGTATTCCGGCTCGGGCCCACAAGCAAAGGAGAAGAACAAAACACCCACAAAGGGCTCTCTCTCTCTCTCTCTACAAAAAATCTTTCTTTTTCATTCAATCAAAATCAATCTCCAATTACAATTCATGTGCTCCTTTAAAAGGAGTTTGTTTTGACATACATAAAAATAACTACTAAAAAGAAGCTAACTAACAAAATACCATTACTCTATTCCTACCCACGTCACTTTTCAAAAAACATGGACCTTTCCTTCTTATAACTAAAAAGATACCTACTATCCTCTATCCAACTTTCTAAATAAGATAACTACTTTATTTAAACCACTATTTCCTATACTTAAGCTAACCTAGGAAAGATATCTCAAAAAGGTTATTCCATGCATTCCACGTTTCTATCTAAAGACCAACTCTTCTAAAATGGATTCAAACCTTCCTAAAACTACTCCATCCTTTTAACAACCTAATCTATTCATTCTTTAAAGAAAATTTCAAATCCACATGCTTACCCACACGATACGCATCTCTTCAAGTTTAAAAGATGGCTACAAGAAAAGTACGGACCTACTAAAAATAAAGAAACTATACTTCCTAAAATATAGACTTTATCAAACTAACCCAAAACAAATCCCTAGTAATCCTATTTCTAAAAATTGACCCTAATAAAGTAAATTAAAAGTCTATCACAACTATAAAAATAAAATTAACAAAAATCAAAATCAAAATTTGTAGCAACCAGATCTTGATATGCATCATTCTCCCCTAGTTGGAAAAAACTTGTCCTCAAATTTTAAAGTGCACTAACATCAACTTTGTATTAGCCATGTAACCTTCTTCGACCCGGATGTTGTAAACACGATCCTGCAACTTGGGGGTTAGGCAGATCAAGATCTAGTTGCTACAAATTTTAATTTTAATTTTTGTTCATTTTATTTTTAGAGATGTGGAAGTCTTTTTCTTTATTTATTAGGATCAATTTTTAGAAATAAGATTAATAGAGATTTGTTTTGGGTTAGTTTGGTAAAGTCCATATTTTAGGAAGTATTTCTTTATTTTTGGTAGGTCGGTACTTTTCTTGTAGCCATCTTTTAATCTTGAATAGATGCCTATCGTGTGGGTAGGCACGTGGATTTGAAATTATCTTAAAAGAATGAATATATTAGGTTATTAAAAGAATGGAGTAGTTTTAGGAAGGTTTGAATCCATTTTTGAAGAGTTGGTCTTTAGATATAAACGTGGAGTGCATGGAATAACCTTTTTGAAATATCTTTCATAAGTTATCTTAAGTATAGGAAATAACGGTTTAAATACTAGTAATTATCTTATTTCGAAAGTTGGAAAGAGGATAGTAGGAAAATCTACAAGGAAGTTATCTTTTTATTTATAGAAAGGAAAGGTTCATGTTTTTGAAAAGTGGCATGGGTAGGAATAGATTAATGGTCTTTTGTTAGTTATATTCTTTTTTAGTAGTTATCAGTGATTCAAAGAGCAGACCGCCTAGCGCCTAGGCTGTCCAGAAGGCCTTGGCGCGTCGCCCCGGCCTAGGCGGTCAATTTGGGCGGCAGTCCCTGGGCGGCCGCCTAGGCGGTATGGAACCCACCTAGGCGGGCGCCCTGCCCAAGGAGGCCCCCTAGGGCCTGCGCCCCGCCTAGGCGGGTGCCCTGCCCAGAAGCGGAAATTTTTTTTTTTCAAAGTTGACAAAAATTGATCAAAACATCACCCATTGATATTAGATTTAATTTTTGATGTTTTATAAATCTATTGGGGGAGGTTTTTAGAAGAGTTTGAGTCCTTAAAACCATCTTTGACTGGGCATCCTTTTTGGATTCGACTGGGCCGCCCATGTTCTGGGCGCCCGCCTAGGCGCTGGGCGGCCTGGACCCCCCAGGCCGTCTAGGACCCGCCTAGTGCTTTTTGAAACACTGGTAGTTATTTTTATGTTTGTGAAAACAAACTCCTTTAAAAGGAGCACGTGAATTGTAATTAGGGATTGAGATAGAGAATACTCGAATCGCACGTTTTGCTCTTCTTCTTGCGTTTCCTTCGTGGTTTTTATTTCTCTCTCTAAAATGCGGTTATTTTTGCAGGGTGTTTTGTTCGCCGATAATTTTATACTGCGTCAAGTGGTATTAGAGCATAAGCGATTCTTGTGAATCGTGGTGTTCGTCGATAAGCACTATGGCTCGTGGACAAGGTCTATCATCAGGTATCAGGACTCAACCCATCAGATGAGAAAGAAACTTCCGAGCTCTATGAGAGATGGAGAACAAAATTTTGCAAAGGCAAGTAAAGGAGCTGACCCTGCGCTTGGCGTAAAAACTAGCCCCAACACACTATGATGACAGTAGTGAGTTAGATGATATTTTCAAGAACCCGTTCCATGCCAATAATCTGTATTGGGAGCCTCATGGTCGAGAGAGTGATCTAATTCCTCATGGTCAGGAGTGCGATCTAGTTAAGTTTGATGAAGAACCAGTTCAAGGTGAAGAACCAGTAGGTTTGGATCTTCATTTGGAATCATCATTCCAAAATGATCTCATCTTTGATGAAGGT